CTGTGATCCCCTCTCCTAGGGTCTTGGGTTTTGCATGAGTGAAGACATAAGAACAGAATGCTTTGCACTGCATCTGAAAATTCCCATCCAGTTGGTCATCTGGCACGTCCTCAATATGGACTAGTAGTTTTCTGTCACTGACAGGCCGGTCAAAGACAAAGCACTTCCGTTTTGGAAAGAACTTCCTGATCATCTCTCTGGGCATGTTGGAATTTTGGATTTGGGGATCCTTGCCTGCAGAAGTGAATAAAGAGCAAACACTGAAGGAACAGCTTTCAGGTCAGCGGGGTGACGACTTTCATTTCCAGGGAGCTTTGCATCCCTGTGGCTCCCCTGCCTGTAAACCTCCTGTTATTGATCACACAAATTGACCTGTGCTAATCTACCCTGGGCATGGAAACCTCCCTCCTTGTTTCTTGTTTTGTTTTGCTTTTGGCACAGAGCTAAGAGTGCAGGAAGTACTTCTGAACAAGAAGGGGAGGCATCTGTTCCAAATGAAGAAAATTATGATTATTTTCCTCAGCTCTTGCCTGATGTGCAGTGAATCAACTCTTTATTAGATGTTACTTCAATGATACATTAATCCAAAAACTTGTCAGAAATATTTTTCTGACATGAGATTCCCCATGACAGAGAGGAAACGTGGGCGGTAAAGTAACGTCATGGTCAGGATATTTATGACCTTGCTGGGAAGATCACATGTGGAGAGCAGATAATACTCAGGACAGTAAATGAACAGCCTTGTAAGATCAGAGTGAAAAAGTACACATTCCATAAATATATTTGGAAATGGCTTTAGCCTACACCATCTCATGGTGAGACTAGCTTACGTGAAGCTTGGACCTCAGCAGTGCTCTGCATCCTTTTATATTGGACGTGACATTATTATACAGAGCATCTCTGGGCATATGACAGCAGTTCAACAATTATTTACTGAAAGGATGAATAAATGATTAAATAAACCAAATGCGTATTGCTTTTAGGTACCATCATTATCCTCTCAACTAAATATAAGCTGAGTAATTAATTTATTATAACACGTGTCAGGCAAGGCTCTAGAATGAATCGTGATGTTATGAGGAAGAGGAAATGAGGCATCGGATAGTCTTCCTGGAAGAACATGGCTGTGCTTTGTTTTTGAACTCTTCAGTGTACAAACAGCCTGTGTATGAGGGGTGTGGCTATCTGGGTAAACCATGTACGGGGTGAAGTGTATTTCAAAGCTTAGTTCTTGGGTTTCCCTTGTGATTCTGTGTTTACCAATTTGT